TATTTAATGTTTATATCGTATATATTATCTTAGGTTTATTTATGTCATCATTTTGGATTCTATTATAATAAAGGTTCACCTGTTATACACCCAACCTTTTCTTAAGTATCTGTTATTTTACATAACTTCTTACGAGAGCTTCAATTGTTTCTTCTAGACTGGTACTAAGTTAAAGTGTCCTGTGAAGACTGCTTTTATACAGAGTTAACTATCGCCATTTTATATCTTGGAAAGAGTTGGTTGAGTCTAACGGTGATTACGAAGGTACGGCAGCTCTGCAATCTCTCTCTGATCGTTCTGATACGAAACGAATTCCCGGATTTGTTGGTGAGGGCCTCAGACTCAATGCAGAAGCCTACACTAAGTGTCTTGAGGTGGTTGTTCTGACCTGAGTCAAGAGGCGTGGCTGCTGGAAGATCCTATATCTGGTAACAGGAATCTGAAGCATGCCACAATTTTTTATTTTTTTTTATTTTTAGAAATGGTTCACTTTACGAAATAACGTAATCATTTGTATCAATCAGTCTTTAATGTCTGGAATCTGTTTGAAGAAGAATTCCTGTCATGATCTATTTCTATTTTTTTTTCTTTTTCTTTCTCGCTTAGTTTGAATTTAACGTACGTCATATTCGATTGGCTAATCACGGTAAAGCACCACCCCAAGCCTATTTTTCTCGAAAAAAGAGGAGGTATTTTGCTTTTTAGATTAAATTAATTATTCACTCGCCAGTAATTTATAATCGCCTGAGGAGAAGCATTGATATGCGTTGAAACCCAATCGCAATTGTGTAGCGATTTTTAACATGTTTTTTTAATATCCTAAAATAAATAATATTACACACACACATATATATATATATATATATATATATATAGGGTTGATGCGGACGGAATAAAATTCTAATAACCAAAAACACTATTCTTAAAAGAGTGCTCAGTACAGAGTAGAGTAAATATTATTTATTCAAAAATTATAACATAAACATGTTATAAAATCACTGCAAAAATAAATATTTTGTTTCAACACGTCTGGTGTCTTCTCAAGTGAGGGCAGTGTGAAAACCCATCTCGGGACACTTTCAGATCAAAGATCATTGAATAAATCTATGAAACGGAAGTGACGAGAAGACTTCGACCAAGAACAAAGATGGCGGATTCTTTTCAAGGTAACACCGTCAACGCATGGACCCCATGTACTATTGTCCATGCCTGCATCCTGGAGATGTCACTCCAGTTTTCTCAGTAAAGACCTGAATTTTGACGAAACAAGACGCTACATTTATTTCACAAGAATTTAATTTAAAATGATTTTTACGATAAAATTTCCTGGAATTCATCATAGACAGGAAAATTAAACAATTATTTAAAAAGCTATCATTCACTTTATAATAAGATATATAGTAAGAAAAATATGCAAAAAATCATTGTAAAGGAGTTTGTTATAGAATTTCAATACAAATTATTTTACTATAGAAATACGATGGATTTTTTTTTTACAATTTTATTCACCCTGTACAAGTCCCAAGCGCCACTTGAGGTAGAGAGTTACAGAGTAAGAGGCACAGTTTATGGAGATATGTGGGGAAGATAGCGGTAGACCTGAGACTTGAACAGGTTAAGATTGTAGTGGTCAAACACGCTTCCTCTTGGGAGTCGGTTGAACAAAAAGCAGCGGTTTGTGGGACGAAGCTGCTCAAGTGGAACTTACATCTCAACAATGAAATACGAAGGGAATAAGGGTGGTCTGCTACAATGGGCGTGTCTTAACCGTGAAGTTTAGCAATGGTCGAACTAAGGAATGTGATTCGTTTGAGCACTTTCCATTGAAATAGCGATAGAGCAACGGGTGTCTTGCGACGTTTCTTCTGTGAGAAATGGATTGTAGAGGTGAAAATAATTTCTCACCCACAAGGACGCGGAGAAGCTTTTGAACTCTATCGAAACTGGAAAGTGAATACTGGGCAGCTCCTGAGCATGTATAACAGCAGTACTGCCTTTTCAGCCTGATCTGTCTCTTGTAAAGATAGATGATAGAACAAGGAGTCAGGTTCTTACTAGACTGGTACAAGGAACCGACAATTTTCACCAGTATCTTTAGCGATGGATCGTATGTACGAGTTCCCCTTGAGGTCCAAGTTATGGCGCAATAGGTGCTCAAGGCACGGGGCCTCCCTGAGGGAACACCAGTTCATCGCGATAGGGGAAAATTCAGGATTCGCTCGCTGACTGAATTTGACCAGCCAAATTTCCCGACAGGGCTGTTAGTGCTAGATCAGAGTAGAGATCACCTGCCAATCTTTGTTCATCTAGAGTCTTGGAAGTGCACTCATATACCGTTCTATCATCAGCATATTCACAAATGATTGACGTATACTCTTACATAGATCATTTATGTAAAGTAGAAAGAGGGTTGAACTGAGAAACGAGCCCTGAGGAATGCCTGCGTTGATCGCTTGGGACTCGAAGCACGGTCCGTTAACAACTACCTTCAGGGAATTTTTTTTTAATTATTTTACTATAGTGTTACCCTGCAAAATATTTTTCTATAGGAATGCATTCCAAATTATTTTATTATAGAAAGGCCCTGCAAATTATTTTACTATAAAATTACACTGCAAATTATTTTACGATATAAACGCTCAACAAATTAATTTCCTATAGAATTGCACTACAAATTATTTCACTATAGTAATGCACTGGAAATTAATTTAATAGAAAAATATAATGGAAATTATTTTATTATAGTAATTCACTGACAATTATATTACTTTAGAAATGCAATCCAAATTATTTTACTATACGAAAGCTAGAAATTATTTTGCTATAGAATTTGCACTGAAAATTGTTTTACTATAGAAATATAATGGAAATTATTTTACTATTTGGCCGAAGGACATTTAACTGAATGGATATTTAGCCGAAAATGTAGTGACCTACTTACATAAATGCCACAATCTTTATCGTAATGTGCTACATATATTTATATTTATTTACTGTATTAATTTATAATTTTTCGGTTTTTTTACAGGCTTTTTAAAAAATCTATTCTGTATATATTATATTTTACTTCAAATATTACTGTAAGATTATAAGTATTTTGAGAAAATGCCCATTTTACTACAGCAAAAATCTTAAGCGTTTACGATATGAAAGATCTTTTAATTTCGCTTTTAATGGTCATTATCTTAAAGGGATGAACTAGCTTTTATTTTACTGCTAAATGCAAATTTAAACAATTAGCTGTTAAAATTTTACCAACGCTCAAATATATATTTGAAATAATAATTCCAATAAAAAAATATTGAAGTAAGAATATTTTCAACTTTTAACTTTAGATTTAGTAATTTAATCACTTGAAATTCATTGGTAATTATTAGACCTAGTCTACCTTATAATACTGCTAATTAAAATACGTAAAGTATTGCTTGGTACTATTTTTACTTGTACTTTTTCGATGAAATACCCGTCAGCCAAATACCGCTTCGGCCAAATGTCTGTCAACTATGCTGAGCAGACCTTAGTTACAGTTTATGAGAGAGAGCATGTTATCTAGAATGATCAACAATCTGAACAACACCAGCACACTCAAACCCTCGGTCACGATGACTTGTGACTATCGACGACCCCCAAATGTTCCGTCTACTCAATTTGACTTACAAAGCTTAAGTCCACCAATGGTAGGTTTTTCAGTCATGACAAATCAACTATATATATATATATATATATATATATATATATATATATATATATATATATATATATATAATGGACTCTCCAGTTGATTTAATTTTTATGTTTTTGATCAGTGACCTGCATACAAGTCTGCATATTGTGCAACAGCGAGGATCTCAGGACATAGCCACAGGAATATTTACTGACGCTTTTCGCCGATGTCTTTCGTCTCTTAGCCGGTCAATATGACTGATTTCAAATTTCCTGAAAGAAAGAAAGAAAGAAAGAAAGAAAGAAAGAAAGAAAGAAAAACGTATAAGTTCAAAGAAAGAAAGGAATTACAAAAATGGAAGAAAGAAAGAAAGAAAGAAGAACGTATAAGTTCAAAGAAAGAAAGAAAGAAATTACAAAAATGGAGGAAAGGAACGAAGAAGAAAGAAAGAAAGAAAGAAAGAAAGAAGAAAAACGTATAAGTTCAAAGAAAGAAAGGAATTACAAAAATGGAAGAAAGAAAGAAAGAAAGAAAGAAAGAAGAACGTATAAGTTCAAAGAAAGAAAGAAAGAAATTACAAAAATGGAGGAAAGAAACGAAGAAGAAAGAAAGAAAGAAAGAAGAAAAACGTATAAGTTCAAAGAAAGAAAGGAATTACAAAAATGGAAGAAAGAAAGAAAGAAAGAAAGAAAGAAGAACGTATAAGTTCAAAGAAAGAAAGAAAGAAATTACAAAAATGGAGGAAAGTTCAAAGAAAGAAAGAAAGAAATTAAGAAAAAATGGAGGAAAGGATTGGAAAAAATGGAAGAAAGAAAGAAAGAAAGAAAAAAGAAGAACGTAAAGTTCAAAGAAAAAAGAAGAAATTACAAAATGGAGGAAAGAAACGAAGAAAAGAAAGAAAGAAAGAAGAAAAATATAAGTTCAAAGAAAAATGGAAGAAAAAATGGAAGAAAGAAAGAAAAAAGAAAGAAAGAAGAACGTATAAGTTCAAAGAAAGAAAGAAAGAAATTACAAAATGGAGGAAAGAAACGAAGAAGAAAGAAAGAAAAAAAGAAAGAAAAGAAAAACGTATAAGTTCAAAGAAAGAAAGAATTACAAAAAATGGAAAGGAATTAAAAAATGGAAGAAAGAAAGAAAGAAAGAAAGAAAGAAAGAAAGAAAGAAAAAAAAGAAGAAGAACGTATAAGTTCAAAGAAAGAAAGAAAGAACAAAATGGAGGAAAAAAATGGAGGAAAAGGAAAAGAAGAAAGAAGAAAAAGAAAGAAAGAAAGAAATTACAAAAAGAAAGAAAAAAGAAAGAAAAAACGTATAAGTTCAAAGAAAGAAAGGAAATTACAAAAATGGAGGAAAGAAAAAGAAGAAAAAAAAAAGAAAGAAAGAAAGAAAGAAAGAATTACAAAAAAAAAGAAAGAAAGAAAAAGAAAGAAAGAAAAGAATAAGTTCAAAAGAAAGAAAGAAAACAAAAATGAAAGAAAGAAAGAAAAGAAAGAAGAAAGAAAGAAAGTTCAAAGAAAAGAAAGAAAGAAGAAAAAATGGAGGAAAGGAACGAAGAAGAAAGAAAGAAAGAAAGAAAGAAAGAAAGAAAGAAAGAAAGAAAGAAACGTATAAGTTCAAAGAAAGAAAGAAAGAAAGAAAGAAAAAGAAAGAAAAGAAAGTAAAGTTCAAAGAAAGAAAGAAATTACAAAAAATGGTGGAAAGGAAACGAAGGAAAGAAAGAAAGAAAGAAAGAAAGAAAGAAAGAAAGAAAGAAAGAAAGAAAGAAAGAAAGAAAGAAAGCTATTACAGAAGCGTAAAAAGATGAAGAGAAGGAAGAATGAAAGAAAAAAGAAACAAGAACGTTAATAAAAAAAACAAAGTTTGATTAAAAAGAATCAACAAAGTCTGACTGTTTCAATTTTATTATATTCTTCTAATTTTCGAATAAACTGTGGATAAACTGTCCAAAGTTCATGTTGTGCTATTCTTTTGGCCAGGAACTTTCGACCATATCAGTCATTGTCAAGATCTAACGTTGTGTTTATGTGGCAGTTAGAACTCTATTGTCTACGTCCTGATATATGTCGGTTGGGGCTTCAGGATACACCGACTAAACCTCTTCAGAATTGTAAGAACTCCTCCACCACCCCACCAATGAGGCGTCCTGGCAATTTCCGGTGTCGGGAGAAACTAACTTTAGTACAAACTATTCTATGTAAAAATTCCTTGTTTCTCAAATCCAGATCCTCGCAGAGATAAATGGTAAATAGGGAGAGCAAAGGGTCAAAGGATACTTAGAATATCAAAGGGAAGTTGTGGAGAGCCATATTTGAACGTAACAGAAGAACACCAAAATTATCTTGTGAAATCTTTTTATATCTGAATAACAATATTACTACTAACTGGGCAGACGCCTTTTTTTAATTTTTCTTCTTATTCCTTTTATCTTTCATTCCCAAACCAAAAACGTCCTGGGTAAGACATTAAACTACATCCGCGTCCTGGGTAAGACGATAAACTACATCCGCGTCCTGGTTAAGACGATAAACTACATTCAACAGCAAGGCCTCTGTTTAGGTGGTTTTGAGGAGCGTGGAACGACCTCTTAATTGCTGGTGTTCCCAGGTCTACCCTGACTCGGAGTGGTAGCACCTTTTAGGGTCCCAGTTATAGGTAAATAGTGAATTACGTCATGGTGCTCGTTTTCTCACAGACGGTATCCAACAGATTCTAACATACTGTGAAATCGACAAAATAAAAAACGAACAACGCGCAAGCGCATATATATATATATATATATATATATATATATATATATATATATATAGATAGATAGATAGATAGATAGAGATAGATAGATAGATAGAATGTGATATAAATGCTGGGTTCAAAATAAATACATTTTTAACTTTTTATAAGTTACACTCAGAAAATGATTTAAAGAAAGTTTACGGTACACTGCGCTGCCTTGCCATGTAGACTAGGTTATATTTGTCATTCGTGTATGTTTATGACTGGTCTGTCTTCGACGTTTAACGTGTGTAGTAGTGAGTAAACTGAGAAGTGTTCCATTTAAGAATGGCAGTATAATCATATCGTGAGCAGGCAGACATGATTTTTACATACGGTCGTGCGAATGCTAATAGACGCGAGACTGCACGGCTGTAATTTTGCATTGTATCTTGGATTGTACATTTAACAGCCTCAACCGTAAACTTTAAATTTAAAACAGTAATATTTGCGGTCATATGTTTATATGGACTTTTGTCCTTGTTTTGGTGTGAGGAAGCCGCCCTAATCTTTGTAAAAGTATTTTTGATGCACCTTGTATATATATATATATATATATATATATATATATATATATATATATATATATATGCATGTATGTATGTATGTATGTATTCGAGTTCTTAACGCTGTTTATATTAAGTTTCATCAGCCTAGCTTATGTAAATAAAACGAACATTTTATTTGTTCCTTAAGTTTAAACGCGGAATTATGAGTAACTTTTTTTCCATTTTATACTCTTTTTAGAACTTCGTATTTTGTTTTAGTCGTTTATTTATTTAGAATTAAAATCTATTTTAATCATGTTCCAAATTTCCCTCCTCATTCGTTATTTACCAATATGTTCACCTTTTGAGAAAGTGTTGACCAAAGGGTCCCCTCAAGGTAAAATAATAACGTCTATTATCTATATATATATCTATATCTACAATTCTCGAAATGTGTGTATGTATGTGTGTGTGATCGGATGTTGTTTATACATTTCCACAGTTTGCATCCGATTTTCGTGATTGTTTTTTGTTTGATAGATAATTCTTCAGTGCCGGTTGTGTATCCAAATTGTTGGCAACTATGGCTCTCCACTACTTCCTGTCTATTATAACACCCCGCAACGTTTTACTATTTACTATCTGTTCTTTGATATATATCTTTCATAAAAACTTTAATAAAAATAAATAGTTTAAATTATTAAAATAATATTATTTATTATTATACAGTTCCCTTTTCAGGGCCACCACCCTCATTCAAATTGTTACCCTCCTCACATTTGGGGGTGGGCCTCTGTTGCACCCAAATGTTGTTACTGGTATTTATTTTCGGGTGGACTGACTTTAAACTTAAACTGCTCCAAATGAACGGCAAAAATTCCCAGTAATGAAAGACCCGGTCAATACAGGTTATACTGCTAGAATATATATATATATATATATATATATATATATATATATATATATATATATATATATATATATATATATATATATATATATATGTTCTTGTGAAACAGTCACCCATCTCTATGAAGTCATGTGGTAGGCATAGAATGTTATGTTATACTAAACTTGATTATTAAACTCAATAATTATTAAATAGTAAAGAGAATTTTATTCGTTTTATTTAATATTCAGAGAACAATGCAAATAAACAAAAAGTGCAAAGAAAAATGCTTTTTAATATTTTATAAGTTACACTGAATTAAAAAATGATTTAAATATCTTTATCGCTGTCATTTGTAATAACGTGTCTCCTAATAACGTGGCTTTTATAAGTTACACTGACTTAGAAAATGATTTAAATATCTTTATCGCTGTCATTTGTAATAACGTGTCTCCTAATAACGTGGCTTTTATAAGTTACACTGACTTAGAAAATGATTTAAATATCTTTATCGCTGTCATTTGTAATAACGTGTCTCCTAATAACGTGGCTTTTATAAGTTACACTGACTTAGAAAATGATTTATAATGAGACTGTCTTCAGGGTTAAACAAAGTTTGATGAGCGCGCAAAGACGTTAAGAGTGAATATTTTGAAAGGTGTTATCATGTCACTTTCACCAAGACACTTTTCTTTTGACACCTGCTTTTTATCTTGTGTATTCGTGTTGACTAAATCTCACTATCATGTCGTCTTCCGGTGAACGAACCCAATTTCGACAGAGAATCGGCATTTATCTGAAAGTTAATCCGGCCAAGAAGTTGAGACAAGAATGCCAATTTAAAAGTTCGACAGCAGCTTAGAACGGGATAATCTGTCGTAATTCCCAAAGACAAACATGTGGTTCTTATATACACGCTGTATTCTAGAGTTTAATGTAAGTCCGTAAACCGGAAATTTCAAAATTCAAAAACTGGCATGGGCATTCCTTTAAGATGTCCTCCGTAATCTTTGTACATATCTCTATATGTAAGTATATATATATATATATATATATATATATATATATATATATATATAAGCAAACATGTGGATATAGATCCGACAGTATGAAGAAAAATATACTGAAAAAACAAACAAAAATCCTAATATGTTGAATTGTATATGGTCTATGTTAATTATGTTTTATGAATATGCCCTGAAGATGGTCTATTAGACCGAAACGTCCGACGTTGACATTAAACATTAAAACAGCATAATCGCATATTAGGATTTTTGTTTGTTTTTTCAGTATATTTTTCTTCATATATATATATATATATATATATATATATATATATATGCGATTATAATAAAAACATTTTGAAATCGCTATACAAAAGCTTTCATGTTTCGATACTATGATTGTACTTCTTCAGTCGATAGTAAGTAACTGGTGATTAAATGATTTTTAAGGAAATTTAAAAACAAATTTTTACATCTTTTTCGAAAGTTAAGGGGTCGGGACATAAGGTTAGACTTAAAATTAGACTTGTGGGTACGTCTTGATTAACCAATTAAATGCCATAACTACGCTAAATAGAAAAGAAAGCTCAGAGGGTGGTGGTGGGTGAGTTGCCATGTCACAGTAAATCGGAACATAGACATGCCCTCATTAACGATTGCAAAAAATATGCCAGCGACAAAAAGATCGTCACTGGGTGTAACAGCAAACATTTCCAAATAGTGCAAAAGCAAAATTGTCCATTTGTCACATTGTATCTTAGAAATGATTAAAGATATATTTCTGGAATTCTCTGAGGTTTTAATAACTCTACTTTGAGCAATAAGAATATTTTATTACTCTCCAAACTTAACAGAAGAATCATGATGAAATGGATCAAAAATGAAAATTGATCGAAAATGACAAGTTCATCATTAATTAATCATAGCTAAGGATCGGAAACTCATGAAGGATTGAAATTAAGTTCAAATATATATATATATATATATATATATATATATATATATATATATATATATATATATTTTCCAGTATCATTTTCCACTTTATTCAAGATGAGCTTCTCCCACTCTAACTTTCTAGTTTTTTCTCCTGAGTAACAAGTTGCCTCAACCGTTTCACATACGATTCCATTTTCAAGTCTTTTTTTCAATACTCTTTGAACTGTCATAGCTAAAACCTCTCTCACGTGCCAAGCGTCTTGTGGATTGATTGGGATTTTTTCTAATTGATCTCTGTAGATATATGTTGAAATGATGTCCGCTCTTGCTGTTGTGACTTCTTGATCCAGTGTTCCTCTCTACTGTTCCCTCTTTTTAAAAGTTATTCACCATTTTCTTGATGGTTCTTGAATGGTCTTTGAAGATGGAAGCCAGAGTATGAATATTGTACCATTACTGAAAGCCTGCTTAATCTCTTTCCTCCCACCATTGTTCATTTGGGAAGACGGTGGCTCTGACACAAAACGATTTTAACCTGCTCTATTTGTAGCTGAATATAAATCAAAGGATTTTGCAGTGAATCTTACGACAAATGGTGTCAAGATGGCTAAATGTTTCATCTGAAAAGTTGGATAAAAGAAACTCAATTAGTTTAGTGTTTTTGGGTTTTTTTTTAGATAGTAAACATTTTGTGGAATGGATAATTCTGCTGTTACATGATATAGACAATTTTGCTGTTACACCCAGTATGATCGTCCAACATTAATTTTCACATCATCAATATTCGTAAAACCTACACTAAAACCTATATTGTTGACTCTCCCGTCGTATTCGACGTATGAGCGTCAAACAGCTCAGTTCTTAGGAACCGACAGCCAAACAACAGCACATATAATTTGATTACAGTAGTGAAGGTTTCGTGCAGGACCATCCACACTTTTTGAAGGGCCGAATACAGAGACCTGGTGCACTACGTGCCACAAGGTCCCCAAACGACCCTCCGCAGGTTTTGAATTCAATGTTGTCCTTCTCCTAGACCAGTTGCCATCCAAGGCTATAAAACCCAGTATGTCCTGCTATTTACCCATATCTAGAGGGAGAAGAAGAGGATTAATACCTTTCCCAAGGATATTAGCAAGTCAGTATATATATATATATATATATATATATATATATATATATATATATATATATATATATATAGCCAATCACACTCCCCGCAAAACTGAAAGATAACATACGCACAACACACACATCACGCACCCATCAACCAATAAATCTGTCAAAATGAGGTGGTAAATTTGAGACTCATGAGTCCCTAAACCGCTCCTTAAAAGAACTTGCAAAAGGCCTTTGACCAATACAAGGACTGACCAAAATTTAACGATAAAAAAACTAATGAAAACCACAGATGAAATTCTCCTTCTTCAGAGACAACGATTCACCCCTGCATTTGCTAGTAGCAGTTGACTGCTACTAGCAAGAAGGAATTTTTTCTCCTGATGATGGCCATACTGGCCGAAACGAGTCGAGGAACCAAATTTTAAAAAAAATGAAACAAAAATATTGATATAAAACCCAGCTTGTCTGAAATTTTTAACACCTTTTATTGCTCAATATATATATATATATATATATATATATATATATATATATATATATATTTTGAATAAAAACAGATCACTTTAAGGTTCCATGTAATAAGTTAACTGCATTCATTCAATGACTAGGTAGAAGTTTTTCTGCCTGCCATCTGCATGACTGATGCTAAACTACAACAGTTTCCTTTCTCACCTGTGGAAAACCCATCCTATTTCTTGCTTCCCCGATAACTACAATCTTTCAAAAATTTGAATGCAATGTCAATCGCCTTCCTGGCCTCACGACATGACGTACATCGACTATATCGAATCACTTGCTTTGTCTACAAGGAAAGTTGTCTCTTTTTTCCTTATATTCGACCTTTTGCCATATCTGACAGCGTGGGACAGTTATTGACCAATACAAGGTCTGACCAAAAAATCAAGAATCTCTCTCTTGCTTTTTCCACTCTGTCTCTCCCTCTCTCTCGTTGTCTCTTTCTTCTATATCAACATTTCTTTCCTGACCTCTTTTTTTGTCAAGAATCGTGAGATGTAAGGCAGGAGAACTAAACAAGGCATGGTAACAATATTCAATGCAAGGACGAATGGTAGATTTTTAAATCTGGATGTATAAATCAAGATTCTGACCAGAAAGAATTTCTGGCAGGACACAGTGAACCAACTTCCCTTTGTAGACAAAGCAACTGATTCGATATATTTATTATTATTATTATTATTATTATTATTTATTATTATTTTATTATTATTATTATTTCTTTCGTCGCTTTTTCTTTTTCTTCCATCATTTCACACTCAATCGATTTCTCTTTCTCTCACTCACTGTATCTAGTTCTCTCTTTCTATTATCGTATTACTTCTTTTCTATCTCTCTCTCTCTTTCTTTCATTCTTTCACTTTCTCTCTCTCCCCCCCTCTGTCGCTCTGTATGACTCTCTTTCTTTTTTATCGCTATTTCATTTCCCCTTTCTTTTTCTTTATTTCTTTATTTCTTTCTTTCTCTTTCTTTCTTTCTTTCTTTCTTTATTTATTTATTTCTCTCTCTCTCTCACGTGGCTTTTCATGGCAACTGCCCTGACGAGCTTTTTTTCCCCTGGTGCAACGACCACTTGGATTTAAGCGTGCTACTAGATTGGCAATTAGGTCTCA